ACTCATATATCATTTGATGCTTTAAAGGATAAAACTAGGGTAAAACCATTTATTTTATCTGCCTTCAAATTGTTTTCAAAACAGAGAAGATAATAACGTTAATTAAAAACTAGCTAAAAGGTACACAAAATACCAACAAAATTAGAACTTTGAGAGAAAACAATCTATTTAATATGAAGGAAAAAAGGACCTGATTTTTCAATGTACCCATAAGGTGTGCCCAGTGCTACTGACTGGCTTTTCTGTGATTTTTACAGTGAATGTTTAATTATTAATCTCAATCTTTCTATAAAATCTCAATAAAATATTCAAGAAGTCAAATCATTAATAAATTTTAATAAATGCATTGTCTAATATTTGTAAGAAGCCTTATTTACCAACTTCTTTATTGGCACAGGTTGACATGATGTTAGAATAAAAGTGAGATACCACTGACTATTTATCTTTAACTAATGGCAACTGTGTTCCTTATAGTTATACCTGTCAGCTGCATTAATTGCTAACCCCCATCATGGGTTTTTAGTTTTGTTGCACTATATCAAAACTAGATTTTACTCTTGAATACAAAATAAACAAAATTAGTAGTTAAACATACCTATACATCTAAATCTAATTTAAGCTTTTAGACCTCTGTGTTCTGAAACTAGAATAACTGCATTCATGGTATTATTCTACCTTTCTGACACCCTGATTAGACTATAAATCTTTTAAGAGGACCCCACAGATTATGTAAGAAATGTAAAGCTTGTTAAAAAAACATTCGCTGAATAATTGCATGAGATTAAGTCTGTTCTACAACCCGAAGACCTGCAGCAGCTTTTAGAAGAAAACTGTTCATTTTACAGAGAAATACATGTCAGAGTCCTGCACCAACAGTCTGTTTGACAGACAGCGTAAATCCATCGTTTTCCCACACACTTTGCATAGTAAACCCAGCCGTCTTTGGTAGATCTCTCTTCCCAACCAGGCGGTAACTCGTCCTCGCTGTCAGTATCGTCCATGCCAGCGTATTTTAGAGCGGCCATTGTTTCAGCTCTCCACGAAAACGGTGCTGTTACACGCACACTAACTAACACAACGATATCAGCTCTGGGAGATTAAAAAACGCTGTCAGGAAAAATGTTCAGCGGGCACTTCCGCAATAACACAGTGACGACACCACAAAGGCATTATGGGATATTGAGGAAATTACCCTTGCTCGCTTGCGTTAGTATTAATTGCACTACGGTATTTGCATAAAGACAATGCGCCCTCGTTGCAGCAGCAGGGCCCAGCTGTCTCTCCATTGCTGAAGGAAAATATATTTGATTGCGTTTAGTATTGTTAATAATAATAATAAAAATAAGACACTCTCCTAAACCTTTTTGACAGCCTTCCCAGAAGAATTGGAGATGTTCAAGCAGCAAAGGGGTGACCAATGCCATATTTAACACCTGTGGATTAGGAATAGGCTTGTCATAATACTAAATTTCAGAACTTTACATCATTGCCCAGGGAAACATTTGATACTCAACGGCATTTGCGATACCATATAGATGTAAAAATTACAAATAAAGGCAAAGTAAATATTTTACTTTATCATGGAGCATGCATTCTCAACACAATTATTGATGTTCGTCAAATAACTGTGTAAATAAATAACCCCTATGGAAATAAAATGTAAAAATATTTTTAAGGTTGGCTGCTTTAATGTGAAAATAATCCACAAATCGAAAAATAACAATAGTTAAAAAAAATTTAAAAAAAGCTCTTGCTTTGATATTGATACCATGACAAGTCAGTATTGTATTCGGATATAGCGGTTGATTATCAATACTTTTCAGAATATCGATATTTTAGTAACCCTAAATAGGGATGGGGTGTCGCTAACACTCATATGTGAGTCGAGGCAGGTGAACAAATACTTTTTGTAGTATAGTGTATCACCAAAATAATTAATTTGTAATAAGGATTATGAACAGTAAGCAACACTGGGGGAGTGCGGTCTAGTGGTTAGGGCATGCTCACTGCTCCCCAAAGGATGGGTTAAATGCAGAAGTTAATTTCTGCAATGTGAGATCAATAAAAAAAATAAAATAAAGTTCAATTATTGTTATAATTGACAAAGATAAACAAGAAAAAACTCAGTCTGGGTCTAGGTCGTCCTCGCGATAAAATAAACTGAAAAAAAAAACCACATAAATTGTCGTAAATGTAACTATATAGACCGAACTTACAGTTTAAAGTTTGATCACTGCCTGTGGGTTCCTACTGGCACAGGAACTCATTTTATCTTTTGCATGAAAAACCAGCTGCATGCACCTGTTCTTTCTGCTTTACCTGTCGGTTGACCACACTATTCTCCTGCAACAGCTGACTTGTCTGAGAATTTTACAATTAAAGCTAAACAATTATTGAATTTTAAGTGATAAATGTTATTACAAAAATTATTTTTAGAAAAAAATGATAAACTTATATTCACACATGATATTTTTTATTAATATTTGATAATACATTTTAGTTGTGATTTCTAAAATGTATTATGTGTATCTAAATCTGATTTATCTGACAGATTTCAGTTTGTTCATATTAATGACCAATCTTCCTCAAGCTCCAGAGTTACCTACGTATGCAGTACCACTGGGATCAGCGTTGGGGCCAATTCTCTTATATGTTCCTAATTGGTGGAATTATTAGACATCATGGGATTGACCTTGATTAGGCTGATGATACTCAGCTATATCTGTCTATAGATGGAGATGACTCAGACAGAAAGTGACAGATATTTATTTTTACCAAAAGTATCAGAGTTACATTTTCTGGCAAACATTTCTTTGATTGAAAGAAAACAAGTGCGCACAGAATAAGACATGGAAATCCAGCAAGCACTGGTAAAATATCTTATCAGATGGAGCCTGTTATTCTACCTAGAGCCTGGGTCTAGGAATGGGCCATTTTCTAGATAACAATCCCCATAACAATCAAAGGACATATATTGCCTTGTTTTAAGAAAACTATAAGATTTATACCCTCTGTTTGTAGCTTAAAATGAGGTAATTCATTGCAAATCTGTTGACTGTTGATACTTTAATGTTTCCTCTGACCCCTTTAATTTTGTTTTAACATCAGGTGTTCACTGGTCTCATGAAAGAGATGGTAGACTGTATCATTTTATTTCCTGAATTTTGAAAAGATGACAGCTTTAGCACAATTGATTAACGTTACCTTTTGTTGTATAAAAATAGCTTGTCCTGTCCTACATCTTACTGCTGAGTGCCTTTCATGGAACAGAAATACATCTTTTCAACTCACTAGGAAGTGACTTGGACTTCAAATACCGGTAGTAAGAAACCAAAGATAGAACAAATGGGACATTATGACTGTTGTTCAATGCTAAGATAGCGTGAACTTAAAGGTCAACAACAAACAAATAATCAATAAATCATTAAGTGTATATGTCATAATACTAAATCCAAACAAAAAAAAAGATTAATATATAGTAAAAAACATCACTAACAACAAATGAACATTTATTGTTATAATAAATAAAATAAAATAATTATCTTGAATAAATAATCCAATTAGCTATTGTATTTTTAGAGTGGAATGAATCTGAAAATGTATTAACTTATAACAAATGTTGATCAATATAAATGATCAGTGTTTAATGTAGTAGTCCCTGTGTTATAGAAGTCCATTATTTAAACATGTCATCATGACATAGAGCCTAATGTCTGATTTGCTAGCTGACCTTTAAACCAATCATTTTTGCGTGGTTCATAGTCATGCCAATTAAGTTAGGTGTATAAACCCAACTGATTAAAGGGCAAATTAAATGAAATCTGCAAATATAGAAAGAACATTATTTAGTGAAGCACTTCTTGAAACATACTAGAAATTGAAGTTCAAACAGAAATAATTTCTTTTTATGACTTTTTTGTCAAAAACCGCAAAGTAGAGGGATTTTGAAGAAAGACACCACTAACTTGAAGACAACAGTTTGTGGTGACACTACCGAACACCAGCTGTTACACAGCCAGCTCCAAAACAATTCTGAACAACTAGGAACACCTGTACTTTCCTACTGCTTAGTGGGAGATATGGAAGAAGAAGCCTTTTTTGAAGACCCTTGGCAGTACGGAATATTTAATTTAACTTTACCCATATGAACTAGAACTGACAGCTTGATCTCAGGAGTCAATTAAAAACTCATCAGTTTCAGATTCTTATTGTGATGATTGCCATACTTTGGTAAAGTTATTTTTAAGTAGCATCCTCAGGTAGTTTTATATTTTTATGTTATATTTCTGTTTTAGGCGGTTCATGCATTTAAGTTTATAAATTATGAAAAAAAAAATACTATTATTTTTACGTAATTCATAATTTACCTAACTTCTTTTGGGGGAGAGTAAATAAATAAGATACACATTTAAAGATGTTTATTTCTACTAAAAGGACATTTAAGCAAGTGTTTCATAGGATTTTTGTCTATTGGTCAATAGGTGGGTGGGCCAAAACTGATCAGTTTGTTGACTTATAGAAGAGAGCCAATCAAATGCTTGGATTTATTTGACCAGTCTTTGGGACAGTTTAAATCATTGTGTGTTAGTTTCCCCAAACGTTTTAATTAAAAACCTATTAACAAAGGTAAAATATAAATAAAAAAACAGCATATACAACTACTGGACTGGATTTGTCTATTTGTCTACTGACATTGGATAATCTTTATAGACTGAAAAACATGCTACATTTTCACCATTTTTACTGTTTAGTGCGTTGTTGATGGACTCCAACTTTGAAAATCAATGTAGCTACTAGAGCACAACAAACATAAAACAAGAAAATGCACAAATGTGATTTTATCGAATAAATGCATTTTATATACAACTTAGAATATTTTATTTATACATTTTACACATTCTTATGATTATGTAGTATGCTAAAAGTTAAATTCCCAAGACTTGCCGCCCCTATTAGAACTTCAGTGGTCTCGTTTGCGCTTGCGCCGCACTGGTGGGCGGGGCCAGGAGATGGGCCGACCAACTAGTCAAGTGTGTGTTTGTGTGTGTTCGTTGCACGAAACGTGTCTATTAACGACGGCCGCGGCACGCGCATATACATCAACGTTAGACGTAGTACATATGGTTTTCTTCATCAATTGAAAGTTTTATGTTGGTTGGCTTCGATGCTATACCAAATACGGCTCGGTATTTGGCCTTTGAAGCGAAGGATTTATCCCGACTCCGTTTTCACTGAAGACTGTCCGCTTCTCCTCCCCTCCATGAAGCGCTGCGATGCCCTCTGATTTTATATCCCTCCTTAGCTCGGATATTGACCTCAATTCTCCCAAATCTCTATACTCTAAAGGTAAGCTGTGAGTAGAGAAACATTTATGTGAAGTCGTGGTTCCGTTTTGTATTTGTTTGATAGGTTAAAAAAAATGAATCCCTGGCTCACGTTAAGCTGCTAGCTAGCTGTTGGTTAGCTTCTTTCTGCTCTTAGCCAGACTAGCTAGCACAGTTATAACTACCTGTCTGTCTAGAGTGTCGAATGAATAAACACCATACTCTGCTGGGACCAGTTGATCCGCGACATCACATTTGCTAACATTTCAAATACTTGATGGATTCAATTAGCTAATATAGTGATACTTGGGGTCGATTTGCTGCTACTACGTTGTTTAGCGGTTTAACGTACTTAAGTCCTGCTCGGCTTTTGCACAGTGTGTGTTGGTATGTGCATTCTGCACTGAAGGATGCGTAAGTCATAAATAAACATTTATTTACCCCCCTTAATCTCTGTTTAAAATGACACGCACAGCCACTCTTTTGTTTTGGTTTGCTCAGTGGAGCCAAGCCAGAGTTATTCTTCTGCACAATATCTAGTTTCATTGAAAGCATGAAGTTGTTGGCTCCCTCCAGTGTGCCTTTAAAGGGGGCCGCTGGACCTGAAATGTAATCTGTCTCTTAATACTGTTGCACACGTTTCAGCCAACTGCTCTGTTATTATTAGGAGGGCGTAACCACATGGTGGATGACCAACACTGTTCACCTCTTTGTGTGATCAGCTTGGTACGTTCCTGAGAGTTGGCATTCAGCTTAAGGATTTTGTGTCGCTTATTTAAAACGTGGGTTGTATGAATTGTTTTCTTGTTTGTTTTACCCTGGCTGCTCATGTGTGGTAGTATTATTCAAAATGAAAATCTGTATAGGTTGTGCTTTATGGAAATCAGCATCTCTTCAAAACGAATGAGTCTTGCTGCTCTAATAGGTAAATGTATGGTTTACCATGCAAACCTGGCAGTTTCAAGCATATATGCCCTGTATAATAACTTAAAATAACTTATGAAATGATCAGGGTTTTAAACATGGTGGCTAAAATGATTAAACTTAGTTCTTAGTAACCGTTATCGAAACAAATTTCCAATTTTTAAGATCATTTGTTGGCATTAGCCCTTTATAGACCAAGTTACCATTTTTGATCACTTGCATACCCCTTACAAATGGTGCCCCCCCCCCCCCCCCCCCATCTCTCAGTGAGGTCTAGAAGCACAATATCTATATTCAGCCATTCAGAAAAGATACTGCTACATGGCTGTACATCTTATTTTGGCATTTGAAATATTACTACTGTAAATTAAGTTGGGGGAAGGGAAAATTGAAAAGTTAAAAAGTAAAGTTAAAAAGTTAATGAACCTAGTTAACAATTATATTTGGGTTTATAAACTAAAAGTGTAAGTGCCAGTATCAGCTTTAATGCCTCTAAGGTTATGTTGTCCAAAAAATTTAGTTTCCTTCACTCTGAGTGTTTTTCATGAATTTCTCACGGAGGTACATTTGTTATTTGTCGCAATATATTCGGGCAAGTTGGCATTTCTTGTAATGACTTTGACATTCATTTTTGCCATCAAAATATCCATATTTTTCAATGTTACAAAGGTAATAAGGTCTTGTTCTTATTACCTTTGTAACATGGCTTGAAATTTTGATTTTCAAAGTATTTCACTGAGTGGCCTATAACGGGTTAATAAAAACTGTTGTGGGGAGAGATTTTTTCTTCTGTCTTGAAATTTGGGCCTACATCTAAAATCTCCGATATTGCCATGCTGATAGAAAACAGTCTGCTTCTGTTTAAAGTTCCTGTAACCCTCTGGTTAATATTACATGGCTCTGTTGTTTGAATAACTATTGTTGGCTATTGTTCTCTGTTTTACTAATGTCATTGATCAAGCCCTTCCTAATATTCTACAGCACAAAATAAATAATAAAAGCATGTGGGATTCGTACTGATACAGTAACTGGTTAGTTTCTGTATTGGTCCGTTCTTAAAGGTGCTCTATCTGTATCGTATTAGAAATGAAAAATGTTGTATCAAGACACCCAGTTAGAGCAAATGATCTGTGATGTATACCAACATCAATGCTGAGGCAAATTGTAAAGAGGATGGTTATAGCTTAACATTTCTATTTATATTATCAAAGCTTTTCATCTGATTGATTTCAGCTATATGCATCCTTTGAAAGCGCCATTATGAGGATGGTATTAGCTGTGTTGCTGGTAGAAGCATGGTGTGGCTACACAACGATCAGACGTGGCTCTTGTGAGGCATCATCCACTTGTTTTACAGATCCTAGATGGATATAGATTTGGTTGTTGACAATCAGATGGAACCATTGCAGTCTACTCCTGTTCTTTTGAAATCTGATTGAAGGGATGATGTTGGCTTTGAATTCTCTGGAAAGGAGTGTACTTCTCCAATGAGGGCACACCGTTTTTGGTTCAGCTGTATGGAATACAAGAAAATGCCTTTAAAAAACAAATATAAAGTCAATGACTCAATGTCTTGGCCCATCCCTCTTATTCTATTTAAGGAAAACCAGCAATCAGCTTTGTACAGATCCCTCTGTATGATGTGCTAGAGCTGTCTGCATTGTGCCTGGAGAAGAGAATATTTTGTAAATTTGTGGTATATAAAACTGAATTGAATTGAGTAAAAACCAGTGTAATTATACTTTAAGCATTGTTCAGCAGTTCGTAAAAATTCAAAAAATATCCACTGGACTTGGTTTTCAAGATTTGAAGACATTTCGCCACCTCTCCAGGAAGCTTTCTCAATTCAAATGTCTGGATCCGCAGTGAGTTTGAGTCTTATATGGACAAGGCCTTGTATGGCTTGGAAACATGCAATGGTTGTTCAGCAGTATTAAATTCTTAAAAGCATCCTGTGTGGTATTTTTTAACTATGTGCTCAAAATGCAGTCATTGGTTTTTTTATTTGTTAGTTTTTTATGCAAAGTTTGGCCTCCTTCTGTTTGATGAGAAAGCTGAAGGTGTTGAGGTAAGCACCTGCTGTTACTTTTCTGAGCGGCCAACCAAGGAATTGGCTTTACCAAAACAGTTGGCGAATAGTAAACGGTAATTCAGCTGGGCAGCTCCAGTTTTGCGTGTAGTCTATTGTAGATTGGCCAGCCAGGTGATTCAAAGACACCAGAAAGACAATAATGGACATTTAGAAGATGAGACAGAGCGGATTTTTGTGGAGGTGGCAGATGTGGAGGCATGTTTTTGACACGTCATGGCCTATCCTTAGCAACAGATAATTTTTCATTTTGAATGCATAGTTCTCTGCATTAACCTCTCACTGCCCATTTGGCGCGTGCCATAATGTCATTATTCATGGGAATTCACACTCGCTGAACTTGATTGGTGTGTTAATAACAGTCTGAGGCAGTTTTAAAGGAGATTTTGTCTTTATGAACATGTAAGAACTTCTCATTCTTTGTTCATTTGCTACTGAGGGACACTGTTGGCACGCCTGTATTTATATTACACTTAAATTGAAGTTAGATATTAAGAAAGTTGCTGTTTGACGGTTATATATCAGAGACTTTGATGTTTATTATCTAAAGTCTTACCCCTACCGCTTTTATAATCAGTGATCATCAAAGCAGCACCCACGCTTTATAGCATCATAACCTGCACGAAACACAGGGAGGAGATTGGCAACCATTTTATCTGCACCAGCATAATTACATATTATTGTTACAGTAACTGTTTGAATTAAATAAACTGGGTTAAAGATTAGCCCAAGATGTCGATTAAAAGGAAATGAAAAAAAAAAATGGTTTCAGCTGAGGTGTTGCTGCGACTCACAAAACAGATTTGCAGGAGCAGTATATGCAATTGTGAACATCGTATTGCTGAATGTTAAGATTGGTCTTTTCATTCAGTCAGCTGCTTTGCTTTATAACCAGTGTTTACCAAACCCCATGTGGACTCCAGGTCTGACCTATTGTTCTTTATTTTAACACATTAGGGGGGGTTGAAAGAAATGAAATCCATATAAGAGGTTAAGAAATTTGAAATTAATAAAAAGCATGATTAGTAGCAAGAGTTTTGTCTTGTACTGAATAATAACATTCATATTTAGTTTTAAACCATTGGTGCCAGTCCCAGTAACAGTTTTTGTTATGCAATCCTGTTTCTTACTGATTCAGTCTCTTTGGAGTTATGGCTGTAACTCGTTCCGGAAGTCTGTACCCTTACGCTGAAAGATGGACTACAAGATTTCTTTTTTGCGGTGGCAAGAAAGCCACAAAAGGTTCCCCTTTGTGCATCCCCTTTGAGACAAGATCTTTGTTTTTAGTACAACTCATCTGTTTAGTTTTTAACGTTTGTCTTTCTCTTCGACAATGTTTTGGTGCCATTTGTTTTTAATCTGGCTCTCAGACTGATACAGATACGATTTCTGCTCCCTTGTGGGCTGTAGCATGTTTTCAGATTTTTCTGTAAATATATTTGCAGATTTGTTGGATTTATTTATGTGAGTTTTAATCTTGACATTCATCCGCATGGCTGTAAATGTTCTCTCACACCATGGAGGCATTACAGCTTCCATGAGTGGAACATTTCCTGACAGAGAGACTGCATCTGTTAATTCACCATCCTGATTTATAATTGTTTGCTTCAGATTTACACAGCAGAAAACTTAACAAGGTTTTAAAAACAGATGGTACATTATGTTAAGGTGTGATAGTTGATAATAGTCCAAGAGGGGCTCATTTAAATAAGCAGCACAATATTAACTAACACAATGGTAATACATTGTTCCTGCTGCATGCTAACATTGTGATGTTATACATTCACATGTCCCTGTACCCAACACAGCTTTCTGTTGTTAATAAAAGATAATTTTGAGTGGAATATGGGCTGATGTCACATTTTCTTCCCCCATTCAATGAAAAAAAGGATTAAAACGACTTTACACAAGTCTAAATCTAAAAAAAACCCCACACATTTAGAACCTAATATAACTAAACATCAACATTGCATAGTAAATGGTTCGATCAGCAAATTATGGGCTTGAAT